ACATAATTTTTCATATTCCTTCCAGCTACTGTGTCGAACTCCCAGCAGGCATATCAGGAAGCGTTTGAAATTAGTAAGAAAGAAATGCAGCCTACACATCCAATTCGACTTGGCCTGGCACTAAATTTCTCCGTCTTTTACTATGAGATTCTAAACTCTCCTGAAAAGGCCTGCAGCCTAGCAAAAACGGTGAGAAGGACTCAGGACAGTTCCTGGTCATAGTCAATCAGTGCATTTGCTTTCTAGTAACTTATTTTTATGCCTGAACATCTTCAAATAATTTTACAAAGATTTTTTTTTTGGGGGTCAGTGGTGGGGCTTGTACTCTGGGCTTGGGCGCTGTCCCTGTGCTCTTCAGCTCAAGGCATTCGCTCTACTGCTTGAGCCACAGGGCCATTTCCAGTTTTCTACTGGTTTACTGGAGATAAGAGTCTCACTGACTTTCCTGCCCGGGTTGGCTTTGAAACATGATCCTCAGATCTCAGCCTCCTGAGTAGCTAGGATTACAGGCGTGAGCCACTAGCTCCTGGCACAAAGATTTTTTTAAGGGTACAATTATATCTTTTATGAAGTATGAACACTATGATTTCTTCTCTCAACACCTGCTGATTTTTGCGTGTTTTGTTTGATGACTGTGATAGTGGGTGGTTATAAACAATTCCAGGTAAAATCGGCAGTTGTTTCTCATCAAGCTTTGGGCATTGGTTATCTGTTCTTATCTGTGTACAAGACAGTTATGATACAGGAATTTTGGTTTGTTCTAGTTACTGCTATATAAGCATGCACTGTATATTTTTTTTAAACAAAGTAATAATATGTCCCCCAAGTACTATGAAAGAGATAATACTTATACTCATTAGCAGAAAAAAATTGAGCTAGAGGTGTTTCTGATAGCTTGAAGATTTACTGAAGGCTTTTTGTTTAGGCATTTGATGAAGCAATTGCTGAATTGGATACACTGAATGAAGAGTCTTACAAAGACAGCACCCTGATCATGCAGCTACTTAGGGACAATCTCACTGTAAGTACAATTGTTAGCTGGATGCAGTGATACTTTTCTGTAATCACAGCTACTGTGGAGCAAGATGGGAGAATCACCTGGCAAAGTTAGCAAGATTCTTCTCTCAGAAGCAAATGAAAAGCAAAAAGTCTAGGGGCATAGTTCAAGTGGTACAACACTTGGAGGCCCTTGGCTCAGTCCCTAGTACCACAAAAAAAAGAAAGAAAGATGTAATTGTTAAATTAGTTACATATGACTGCTAAGCTTTTGAGCTTTGCAGTCATTCCTGAGGTACTACAGAAGGAATTTTAAAGTTAGGGTAGATAAGGTACAGATTGGGTCACCCCTAGGAAGTTTTAGTGGCCATGCTTTGATTATAGCATTGATTTCTTTTTGTTTTGCAGCTGTGGACATCGGAGAACCAGGGAGATGAAGGAGATGCTGGGGAGGGAGAGAACTAATGTCTGTTGTGCTCTGTGATCTGTTCAGTGTCACTCTGTACCCTCCACATATATCCCTTTGTGCGATAAAAAAAAATTGTACGTTGACTTTCGATTTTTCACAGCCTCTGCCTAGCAAAAATGGTCCATGGGATAAACAGCTGGTATTTGTATCTAAAACACAAATTGGTCACATAAATGCCACGGCATTCTGAAGTTTTGATTTCGATTAACTTTGACAGGATTACTGTATGTTTAATTTTTTAAAACTGAACACTGTGATTATGGGTTTTGTAACTTAGCAGAACTCTCACTGGTAGAAAAAAATAGGCCTGAATTATGTATAACTTTTTGGAAAATTTAATCTGATATCAAAATAGTCACTGAAATACAATTCTGTTGTAAAGTTGTACAGAAAGTTATAGAGATTATATTGCAATGCTGGGACTAGGAGTGAGACATATACCATTTGGCATCCAAGTTTAATGGTAATTCACAGTGATTCTGCCTGTGGGAACATATAGATCCTTGACCAATTTGGGCCATTGCCACTCAAAAGTTCATGACCACAAATGTAGAGTCTTCCTCTGAGGATCAAAGCCTGAAAATAGAATTGTTTGTGGCAGAAAACTTGGTTGTGATACCATGAATAGGTCCCGTGCTCCTGTACGATGTGACTTAAACCCCCTTTCCTACAGCAATATGATACTGATTTGCAACTTGTGAAATCAGAGGGATCTCTTTTCCTTATTACCACTTAGATAAAAGAAGAAAAGAAAAATAAAAAACCGTGTGTCTTACGGATGGCTTTCTCTGTTTCCTGGATGCTACCTTTAAGAATAACGTTCTGTAGAGATAGCTTCTCACTTGAAGAGTACTCATTTTTTGGGTTCTTCCTAGCTTGGGGCATTTGAAATTTTAAAATTTAATGATCTTTTCATTTTTTGCTCTCTCCTCTTTAAATTTTTGTCCTTATGTTTATTTTCTTTTGGAAGCTTATGTTTTGTCTTCTGTTTACTTTTTATACTGTATGGGCAGGACGTAAGAGATACAGTGGGTGAGTACATTGGGTGAGCAAGCCCTGCTTCAGAGTTGAGAAGAGCTTGACACCATTGCCCTGTCTTCCTCGAGTTCTGGGCACAGTTACTGCTCTTCAGTCATACCACAATCAGAATCAGCAAAGCACTCTTAAGTATCCATGGTTTCTCCTTATATTGCAACCAACCCTGATACTGCTTGTTAATTATGATCACCAAGCTCCTAAGTGTGCTTATCCAGTTCAGTTCTCAGATAATGTCTAAACAAGACCCTAGAACACAGGAAAGTTGTGTGGACACTACAACAGAGAATAGCCAGGCCCGTCAGTGTCACAGTATCACTCCTTTACCTTTGACATTCCACCTAGCTGTAGAGTCCCATCTGTTTGTCCATATGCTGAACTGAGAAAAGAAAAATTCATGCACTGATTTAAACAAACCAGAAAAAAAATCACTCCTTTTTAGCTGAACAAAAATGTGCAGTTAATACTTGGCGCTTGAAAATGCAGTAGTGAATGTGGAACCAAGCTTGTCTGTATATCTGGTAGCCCTTTGTTTTTCCTTACCAGTATTCTGCCTACTGTTTGCTTCTGTGATGGTTACATTGCCTAGCAAGCACACCCACCTGTGGTTGTGAAAATAGTATAGAGAAAAAAAAAAAAGAAAATTCCCTGGTTATTGATGTACTAGATTTGTGTATGTCTTTTAAACAGTTATAGTTTCACTTACATGGACTAATCAGGAAAAGTGTAAAAATTCAAAAGTGAAATAAAAAGTTTTATCAGTTAGTGCCTGTGCATTGCTGTGTCACACCATCTTCCCACTTTCAAAACTAGTTTAATTATTTGGATCATTTTTACTTTTAGCTGTTTCTTTAAAAATAGGCAAACATGGGCTGGGAAGGTGGCTCAGTGGTAGAGTGCTTGCCTTGCATGCATGAGGCTGGGTTCGATTCCTCAGCAACACATAAGTAGAAAAAGCTGGAAGTGGCGCTGTGGCTCAAATGTGGTAGAGCTCTACCCTTGAGCTGAAGAGCTGAGGGATAATGCCCAGGCCCAGAGTTCAGGCCCCACGATTGACCAAAAAAAAAAAAAAATGCTAACAGCCTTCATCCTTTAAAACCAGAAAGCAAAGTGTGGTAAAGGGAAAGAAATTGCCCTTGCTTAAACAGCTCTTCCCACCAGTTAACCTCCACAGCAGACTGGCCAGGTGTTAAGTCCCTTGTGGATTGCTTGAGCCCTCCCCATCATGTTTAGCCTTAAGATACAACCAGGCTGGGAGATGTCACCTGGCCTTAAGATTGTGTAATTCTTGGAAGTCTAAAGTGTTATAGTGTCTCCTCTGTCCTGTTGCTGTTCATGATAGTCTACAGCACTTTTTCCTCATGAGATTCTCTTTTTCAAGATAGATAGTATTTTTTTTAGGCCAACTTTAATATTGGTGCATCTTTCTGAGGGCGAGACTGGACAGCCAGGCCAGCATCCACCCCTAGTTTAGGAGTTGTTGGGACAACACCCAACCAGAGGTCAGAAGGGGCCTACCTACCTAGTTGCGGGAGGATAACCAGCATCCCTAAGAAACAAGGTGAAATACCGGTCCATTGTGGACCAGTATTTAATAAAACAGCCTTACACTATGCAGGTTGAGGCTGCAAGAAGATGGTCAGTTCAGGCCACCTTGGCCTTGCTCTGTGGTTCCCATTCAGGTTGAGTCGTGAGTGTAATGGCTTAGTCTCTGGAGGTGGGGGGGGGGGGACCTTGGCAATGTCACTACCAGTGTCAAGGCCTCGCCTTAGTGGTCCCAAATCACAAAGCTGTTTCCATGCTGGTGCAAGAAGGGTGGAAACAGGCCGGCTTGAGGAACAAAGCTTGTCTGAATGCAGGATTGAAATATTGGGTATAGCTAGGGGCGCCAGTGCCTGACGCCTGTCATCCTAGTTGCCCAGGAGGCTGAGATTTGAGGATGGCATCCCAAAGCCAGCCAGTTCATCCCCCAGAAAACCGGAAGTGGTGTTGCCGTGGCTCAGTGTTAGATGGGTAGATCCACTATCCTTGAGCGAAAGAGCTCAGGACCAACGCCCAGGTCTTGAGTTCAAGTCCCACAATCCACCAAAAACAAAAATCTGTGAAGAAACTCCGAAACCTGAGGTCCCACTTGGAATATTCCCACTTGATGTGAAGCCAAAATCTAGACCAGACCAGACCAGGCCAGAGGGAGTCGTCCGTATTACACAGATCTAGGAAAGCAATGCGTGGTGTGGCTTTCCACCCGTGGGGTCCCAGCCTCCGCCCCTCCGAGCCGCTCCACCCTGCCCCAGGCCTGGTCACTGGAGGCGCTGGCCACCTGTTCCTTGGCGAGGGCTGAGGGCGCGCAGGTGGGTGGGGGCGGACGCCGCGCCCGCGATTGGCTGCGGGGCCCCCGGGGCTGTAAAGGGAAGGAGCCGGCTGCCGCGCCAGGCAAGGCGGCAGGGAGAGCCCAGCGCCCAGGCTCGCCAGGCCCTGGGCTCCCGGCCCCCTGCCCACCATGCACGCCGGAGGCCAGGGCTACCCGCTCGCCTCGCTCTACGTGGGCGACCTGCACCCCGACGTGAACGAAGCCATGCTCTACGAGACGTTCTCGCCCGCAGGCCCCATCCTGTCCATCCGCGTGTGCCGTGACGTGGCCACCCGGCGCTCGCTGGGCTATGCCTACATCAACTTCCAGCAGCCGGCGGACGGTGAGCGGGGGCCTGAGCCTGGCAGAGGCAGAGGCACTTAGGGCTCCAGCCATAGATACAGGGCGCTGGAAGTCACAGGGCTCCTTGGGGGGGGGGGGGAGAGGGGGAGAAGCGGTGATTGCTGCGTGGTTTCCTGGCATTGCTTCTCTTCGTAGAGAAGAGAAAATGAGGCCAAGTGAAAATAGCTAAGGGCTTTGGGGCCAAGCAGATCTAGGATAGAAACCTAGCTAGCAGCTGTGTGATGTTGGCCAAGTTAGTTAACCATTCTGAGCTCATTTGCCTTTCTGGAAATTGAGTGCTTTCTTTACAAGTGAATTGAGAGGCCTGGCACAGTAGCTCATAGTTGTAATCCTCCCCACTAAGGAAGTGAAGATCGTGTGGATAGAGGTTCCAAGGAAGGTCCTAGCAATTAAAAAAAAAAAGGAACCTATTGGAAAAATAATGCAAAAGGGGTTGGAGTAGAGTGCCCGCATAGCTATGGAGTGAATGGTCGAGAGTTTGAAAGATTCATAGCACCTGGTGAGGGAGACCAAGGCAACACAGCTGGAGAGTAGGGTGAGCCTTGGGCCCTTACCTTCCAGTATTAGAGCCTTGGCTCCCCCTTACCAAACTCTGAAAAGCCATTTCTGAGCTGCTCCGAGCTCATGGGGTTGACTAGAGCTTGATCAGCTGGGCATGTCTATGCTTCAGTTGACAGTGAAGATAAAGGTTCAGAGCCCTAGGTTTTTCTGACGTTCTGCTACTATATGTGAATTTATATAAAAGCGTCCCTGGCACCTCTTTATCTGTAAAATGGGACACAGCTTTATTCCCAAAAGCAGGAATGGAGAACTGGTTATCTGTGGAGTATCATTTGGCACATTGCAAGCATTCTTAAATGACAATCTAAGAAAAGTGATAGTCATTGTAACACTCCACAAATATAAGCAAAAATTGCCTGGTCCAGTCAGGCAGAGGTAGGGCTCACCTGTAATACTAGCACACAGGAGTCTGAGGCAAGAGGATCATGAGTTTGATACTAACCCAGGCTCCATAGGGAGACTGTTTCTGAAACAACAACAAAAGCCAGTCAAGACTAAAACAGCAGCAACAAAAAACAAGAGGTCTGGGAAAGTGGATCAGTGGTACAGCGCTTGCCTTGCATGCATGAGGCCCTGGGTTCAATTCCTCAGTACCACATAAGCAAAAAGAAAAAAAAGCTGGAAGTGGCGCTGTGGCTTAAGTGGTAGAGTGCTAGCCTTGACCTGAAGAGCTGAGGGACAGCGCCCAGGCCCAGAGTTCAGGCCCCACGACCGGACCCCCCCCCCAAAAAAAAAAACAAAACAATAAAAAGAACCATGGCCACTTAATTCCAGGTCTCTAGGTGGTTCCCTGAGTTGGGGATTTACTGAATTAACACTGGATTCCAGGACACTTTTTGCTCCTCTTTGCTTTACCCCATTTCCTGCATCTTGCTTAGTCTCTCTGCAGGCCCCGTGAGTGCAATAGGACCTGACCCAGTTCATGGATGGGAGAACTGAACAGCAGAGAAGTGTTTTGCCCTTGGCCGCTTATGCTAGCACTGGACGTCAAGGCCTGCTCTACCACCCTCTACCAATCCCCTCCAAGTCACCAAAGCAGAGGGGACAGCATGTAGTGTGTCAAGAGGGTGGGCAAAGCTGCTGTTTTCAGATACATTGTTATCCACCAAAAACCTACTATAAGTTGAGCACTAGTGGGGAGGAAAGTGTGATATTATCTCCAATTAACTACGAAAAAGCTGGAAGTGGAGGTGTGGTTCAAGTGGTAGAGCATGAGCCTTGAGCAAAAAAATAAAAAATCTATGAGCTGGGTGCTAGTGGCTCATACCTGTAATCCTACCTATTAAAGAGGCTGAGATCTGAGGGTCAGGGTTCAAAGCCAGCCCAGACAGAAAAGTCAGTAAAACCCTTGTCTCCAATTAACTACCTAAAAACTGGAAGTGGAGCTATGTGTGGCTCAAAGTGGTAGAGTGCTAGTCTTGAGCACAAAAGATCAGGGACAGTGCCTAGGCCCTAAGTTTAAGCCCCATAACCAACTGACTATATGAGGATGAGGGCTTGGAGAGGTGGCTTTCCCCCAAGCCAAACCATCCTAGATCAAACCTCAGCTCTATTAGTGCCTCTGAGGTTTAATTTCCTCAAACTGCTGTTAGCCTCTTGTCATATGGGTCCCTCCTTTATATTCTCATTTACTCCATTGGTTACGGAGGACAGAATAAATGGGTTCCGTCACTGACCTCTCACCTTTCCCAGCTTGTTTTCCCATCTGTAACATGGGGATAGGGATCCATGCCCTTGTGGCTATGGTAAGCCGTCCTAGAAAGGTGAGAGACGCACCAAACGCATTAATTCACATGAACTTCCAGGTTCCTCTCTCCTGTGAGGCCCAGACAATAGCTTTCCATTTTTGTTTTTGTGCAGATACTGAGGCTTGAACTAAGGTTCCGGGCAGTCTCTTAGCTTTTTTTGCTCAAATCTGGCATTCTACTACTTGAGCCACAGCTCCACTTTCTGCTTTTTTAAGTGTTTAATTAGAGATAAGTCTCACAGACTTTTCCTTCCTAGGCTGGTTTTGAACTGTAGTCCTCAGATCTCAGCCTCTTGAGTAGCTAGAATTATAGGAAGCATAAGCCACCAGGGCCTGGCTTGCTTGCTTTTTTCCTCCTTCCCTCCTTCCTTCCAATTTGTTTCCTTCCCTCCCTCCCTCCCTCCCTCCCTCCCTTCCTTCCTTCCTTCCTCCTATCTCTTTTTGTTCCTAATTAGGCATTATGTAAATTTAAGGTCAGAAAATTCCCTTAAATTGCCCCTTTTCTCTCCTTCTGCCCAGCGGAACGGGCATTGGACACTATGAACTTTGAGGTGATCCAGGGTCAACCCATTCGAATCATGTGGTCCCATCGAGACCCAGGGCTTCGAAAGTCAGGTGTGGGCAACATCTTCATCAAGAACCTGGAGGATTCGATTGACAACAAGGCTTTGTATGACACCTTCTCTACCTTTGGGAATATCCTCTCTTGCAAGGTGGGTATGACTCTTTGGGGGAAAGTTTGCCAAATGCTCGTGTGTTAAAGGGATGGCCAGCATCACTTCACTTTTACAGTTTGGCTTGAGATAGAGCAAGTGGTTAACCAGTAGCTAGCTATTCTTTCCGTTTTCTCTTGCTGGATCTATCAGAAGTTACCTGCATATGGGTCAACCCATAGTGAAACTACCTCAAACTCATGACTGTCAACAACCATCATTGGTTATTGGTTTGGCTTAACGTAGTGGGAAGTTCTTCTGACTGGGCTCTCTGAGGCTGGTAGAAACCCTCAGGGATATAGGTAGCAGGGGCTGATCATTAGCTAGAACATCTGGGCTTCCTTCTACCAGCAGGCTAGCTCAGGCCATTCTTATGACAATGGCAGATCTCAGATGACAGGTTTTCTGAGATTTTAATTGAAAACTGACACCCCATCACTTCTGCTGTTCTGTTGGTCAAAGCAAGTCACAAGACCAGCCCATACCCAGAAAGAGGGGGGCGGGTAATGCAGTAGAAATATAGGGTGAAACCATGCATCAGTGGCTCACAGCTATAACCCCAACTACTCAGGAGACAGACCTGAGGATCAAGGTTGGAAGCCAGCCCAGGCAGACACATCTTGCTTTTTTAATTTGTTGGTCATGGGGTTTGAACTCTGGGCCTGGGTGCTGTCCCTCAGCTCTTCAGCTCAAGGGGAGTGCTCTACCACTTGAGCCACAGCACCACTTCTGGTTTTCTGAGTGGTTTATTAGAGATAAGAGTCTCACGGCCCTGGCCGGGGCTGGGAAGGTGGCTCAGTGGTAGAGTGCTTGCCTTGCATGCATGAGACCCTGGGTTCGATTCTTCAGCACCACATAAGCAGGGAAAAAACTGGAAGTGGTGCTGTGGCTCAAGTGGTAGAGCGCTTGCCTAGAGCTGAAGAGCTCAGGGACAGCGCCCAGGCCCTGAGTTCAGGCCCCAACCGAACCCCCCCCCCCAAAAAAAAAAGTCTCATGGATGGCTTTGAACCTCGATCCTTAGATCTCAGCCTCCTGAGCAGCAAGGATTACAGGTATGAGCCACCGGCACCGGGCTTCACATCTTGCTTTTGAGGGTTATGTATGCTAAGTACTCACTCTACCACTGATATACCTCCCAGCCCCACCCCCACCCCCACATCTTGTTTTTAAATTTTTTCTTATGCTATTAAGAGTAGTGGTCTTGCTCTTAATCATTGTTGTATTTTCAGTATCAAAAGTAGACATGACAGCCAGGTGCTGGTGACTCATGCCTGTAATCCTAGCTACTCAGACGTTTCATCTTGAGAGGTTTAGGGTGTTTCTAGGCTTCTAGTTTTCTGTTTGAACTAGGATGCAGTTATGGGGGTTGGGCTAATCCTTGTTTTAGGAAGACAGTTAACGCTGGTCTATGGTGCAGATAAAATCTGGATTTCTTCTGAGGGGTCTTTCCTTCCTTTCTCTGATACCTAAGCAAGGGAATTGATCTCCAAATTTCAACTCCCCATCTCTGAAATGGGACAGACATAAGATTCTTTTGTTGTTGTTGTTGTTTGTTTTTGGAGATTGTGCTAATAATCACCACAAAATGCCTGGTGCACGCTTGACAAGTACCCTACCTCTGAGCCACACCCCAGCTCCTATGCACATAACGGAGGTGCGTGTGCTGCCTTTATGACCTTGCTATCCTGTTGAATGTACTCTGTGCTTCCTCCCCATGAACCAGGTGGTGTGCAACGAGCATGGCTCCCGGGGCTTCGGCTTTGTGCACTTTGAGACCCACGAGGCTGCGCAGCAGGCCATCAGCACCATGAATGGGATGCTGCTCAATGACCGCAAAGTGTGAGTGGCTGGGTCTGGGGAAGGGGCCAAGGCCGAAGGGACAGACTTATCAGTAATTAGCAATGACACTGCTGCCACCAGCAAACGGGCTAGCCCTGGGCAGCAATCTTCTTGCTCAAATGGTGACTCTCGTGGATTTTTTTCCTCTCAGTTCTCTTCTCTCTTTTTCCTTCTCTCTCCTCATTTCTCAGTGATGCCGAGACTCTCATGGATTCTCTTTCCTTGTGTAAAAAATGAAGCTCGCTCATCAGCAGACAGTATGTCCCCTCTGTGTTTTCTCAGTATGGCTATACATTTTCGTTCCCAAACCTTCCATGCTATTCCATGGGACTTGGGCGCAGAAAGCAAAGTAGGCATGACCTGTTTAGGCTGCCAAAGGTCAGTCTTCTCCCCTCTATTCAGATGGAAAAACTGAGGTACAGATACTGGAAGAACCTGCTTCTGCTCTTCTCTGTCAGTACCAGAGGTTGAACTCAGGGCCTCATATTTGTTCAGCTTATTGCTTGTCCAGTGCTCTGCCACTGAAGCCATCTCCAGTCCAGCTTTTTTGATGGTTATTTTGGAGATGGAATCTTGTAGACTTTTCTGACAAGCTGTATTTGAATTGAGATCCACCAGATCTCAACCTCCTGAGTAGCTAAGACTACAGAAATAGGCCACTGGCACCCAACTATTTCACTTTTTCTTTTTTACTTTTACCTTTTCCTTTTCTTTCTTTTTTGGGGGTAGAGGGTAGGGGCTTGAACTCAGGGCCTAGGCACTGTTTCTGAGTTCTTTTGCTCAAGGCTAGCACTCTACCACTTTGAGCCACAGCATCACTGCAGGTTTTCTGGCGGTTAATTGGAGATAAGAGCCTCACAGACTTTCCTGCCCAGGCTGGCTTTGAATCACAATCCTCAGATCTCAACCTCCTGAGTAGCTAGGATTATACACGTGAACCACCAGGGCCTGATGGTTTCTTCACTTTTTTTGTCAGTTGTGAAGCTTGGATTCTGGGCCTGCGTGTTGTCCCTGAGCTCTTCAGCTCAAGGCTAGCACTCTACTACTTGAACCACAGTACCACTTCCGGCTTTTTCTGTGTAAGTGGTACTAAGGAATCAAACCCAGGGCCTCATGCGCTGGGAGAAAGCTGGGCCCAGGTGTGAGCCACTGAGCCACCTTCCCAGCCCTTTCTTCACCTTTTGAACAATCCAGGGCCCCTGTACCAATTCAACAAGAGGCAAGAAGGGTGAAAACTCCTGTAACTTTTGTTACATGTACTATGGTTATTGCCCAAATTTCTTTCTTTTTATGAGACAGGAGTTGGCTAGATGGCCCAGATAGGCCTCAAACTTGTGTCTATCTTGCCTCAGTTTCCTGAGTGCTAGGGTTACTAGTGAGTACTGCCATGTCTGAACTCACCTGAATTTCATTTTATTTATTTGATATATATTAAATTAATGGATTTTAGCCAGGTGCCAGGGGCTCACACCTGTAATCCTAGCTACTCAGGAGGCTGAGATCTGAGGATTACAGTTCAGAGCCAGCCCAGGCAGGAAAGTCTAATTGTCTCCAATTAGCGACCAGAAAACCGAAGTGGCACTGTGGCTCAAATAGTAGTGTGCTCACCTTGAGCTGCAGAGCTCAGGGACAGTGCCCAGGCCTAGAGTTCAAGCCCCATGACTGACAAAAAAATAAAAATTAAAAATAATAGGTTTCATTATGACACTTCAATACATTCATATAATGTACTTTGATCTTATATGCTTTTTTTTTTTTCAGGCTAGGCATGGTGGTATATGCCTTTAGCTGAGAAGCTGAGGCAGGAGAATTGCTTGAGCCTAGGAAATGAAGGCCACAGCCTGAGCAACATGCCAGGCTCTAGTCTGTTAAAAAGGGAGAGAGGGGCTGGGAAGGTGGCTCAGTGGTAGAGTGCTTGCCTTGCACGCATGAGGGCTTGAGTTTGATTCCTCAGCACCACATAAGCAGAAAAAGTTGGAAGTGGCACTGTGGCTCAAGTGGTAGAGCACTAGCCTTGAGCTGAAGAGCTGAGGGACAGCACCCAGGTCCAGAGTCCAGGCCCTACAACCGACCAAAAAAAATAAATAAATAAAAAGGGAGAGAAAGCTGGGCGCCAGTGGTTCACATCTGTAATCCTAGCTACTCAAGGAGACTGTGATCTGAGGATCAAAATTCAAAGCCAGCCCAGGCAGGAAAGTCAGTGAGACTCTTATCTCCAATTAACCACCAGAAAACTGGAAGTGGTGCTGTGGCCCAAGAGGAAGAGCACCTTGACCTGAAGAGCTCAGGGACAGTTCCTAGGCCCAGAGTTCAAGCCCCACAACCAACCCCCCCCCCCGAAAAAAATAAAAAATTGAAAGAGAAGTTGGTGCTTTCCTCCATGTATTATGTGAACTTGGAGATTCTAGTTCTTTAATTAATGTTGTATTCAATTTCAGTCCACTCCCTAGAATGACACTGGCATTAATGGTGTTTAACTGATTCACCCCTGCTTCTCCAGCTTACCTAGTATATGTTAAATGAATAAGCAAGGCCCCTTCATGAGTTTGATTCCAGTTTTGCAGGAATAAGCACTGAAGCTCAGAGAGGCTAAGTAACTTGCCCAGGATGACACAGCTATACATCTGCAGAGTAAGGATTCAAACTCTTTTCTGAATCTCAAGTTCACGCTCTCATCTCCTGTGGTCACAGCCACCTTGTGTAGTAGTATTTCTGTGTGTATTCATTCACCTGAACAACGTCTTCTGAACCTTATGTAAGGGAAAAGGATATTCAGTCTAGGACTGTCTAGTCTAATCTCTCTGTTCTCCCGGTGAGAGATATGGAGAACAGTGATTGGCTCAAGTAGTCCAGGGCAGGGCAGGCTCAGGCAGGGGTGGAGGGGAGGCTGTGGACTGGCAGCTGCCTACCCTGTCAGTGCATCCACAGCTTCGTTGGCCACTTCAAGTCTCGACGGGAACGGGAGGCAGAGCTGGGAGCTCAGGCCCTGGAGTTCACCAACATCTATGTGAAGAATCTCCATCCAGACATGGATGAGCAGGGCTTGGAGGATCTTTTCTCCCAGTTTGGTGAGTGTGATATATCTATTTCCTAAAGGGGGACTGTATCCACTATGGCTCTTCCTCCACACCCAGATCTGGTGGGGGGGGGGACAGGGAGGGGCGGTGGAGACACGTCCTGAGACTCCTTGCGGTCTATGGAAAGGGAAGGCAGCACCCTGGGGCTTCCATACCTCCCCATTGAGCCAGATCCGCCCTTTCCAGGAAAGATGGTGAGTGTGAAAGTGATGAGGAACAGCAGCGGCCAGTCCAGGGGCTTTGGCTTTGTCAACTTTGAGAAGCACGAGGAAGCCCAGAAGGTAGTACCGCCCTCATGGCTCTGAGCCAGGACTGGAAAGATGGGATAGCAGGAGTGGGCCTCAAGATGCTCATGGAGGGGAGGGAGGTCTCTTCTCTCTGGGTCGCGTGCGGTGGGCGAGATAAGCAAGGTCTTTACAGCTTGTGATGCGGAGGCCTAAGGCTTCATCCTTCCTTGCCTGCTTCTAACACTTGAGATGTAAAAAACTAAATATTTAGGTAGAGAACTTAAAGTTACTGCTGGGTGTTGGTGGCTCACGCATGTAATCTTAGCTACTCAGGAGGCTGAGATCTGAGGATCAGGTTCAAAGCTGGCCTGAGCAGAAAAGTCCAAGAGACTCTTATCTCCAATAAACCATTAAGAAAACCGGAAGTGGTGCTGTGGCTCAAGTGGTAGAGCGCACACCTTGAGCTAAAGAGCTCAGGGATAGTGCCCAGGCCCAGAGTTTTGTCAACCCATGACTGACAAAAAAAAAAAAAGTTACTACTACTACTACTATTACTGCTAGTACTAAAGCTTGAATTTAGAGCCTGGGTGCTGTCCCTTAGCTTTTTCACTCAAGTCTGGGACTAGTGAACTTTCTTGCCTAAGCCGGCTTTGAATCTCAACTCCCAAGTCTCTTGAGTAGGTAGGATTACATGTATGAGCCACTAGAGCCAGGCAAAAGTCTCCATTATGTGTAAAATAGTCACTAACGAACTAAACACTTAAGAAATCTGTTTCCCTTTCACCTAACATCAGCAGAAAATCTTAACCACTGAGTCACTATATGCTTGGGTCTGATTTCTGCTAATTTTTTGTAGATAAGCCAGTAAAAACCCAGTCAAGTATGAATGGATTACAGAGAGAAGGTTCTCATCCTGTAAACCATGCAGAAGTTAATGCCACCAACCTTCAAACCTAGCAGGATTAGGCCAGTTATCTAAAAAGAAAATCAACAGGGTTAATATTCACCTGCTTCTAAGAAACTTAATGAAGGCCCTTGTGGGTAACATGCTTTTGTGCTATGAAATATGCCATCCAGTGAAGGATGCTGTTTACATTACTATCATTTTTGGAACAATTAACACTTGCTGCTTTGTTTGTACTATCTATGAGTAGTTTCTGTAAGAACCTTTTGGGCTTTTGTTTTGTTGTTGCTTTGCCAGTCCTGGGCTTGAACTCGGGGCCTGGGCTCTGTCCCTGAGCCTCTCTGTGCTCAAGGCTAGCACTCTAGCACTTGAGCCACAGTGCCACTTGGGGCTTTTTCTCTTTATGTGGTACTGCGGAATCGAACCCAGGGCTTCATGCATGCTAAGCAAGCACTCTACTACTAAACAACATTCTCAGCTCTGTAAGAACCTTTTGTAATAGCCTTCATATTTTTAGAATCACAGAATAATGGGGGGGCATAGATGTCTCACACACTCCCTACACGTGCATAGCCTCCCCATTACAAGCACCCCCTCCAAAGTACTACATTTGTTACAACTGATGATTCTATCTCAATACAATCATCATCTGGAGCCCATAGTCTATACCAGGAGTTACTTGGAACATGATGTACGTTGGACTAAAGTGTAAGGACCCACCATTATAGTACCACGCTAAGTATTTTCTTACCTCTAAAAAAAGTCTGTGATTGGTGGTCACTCACCTCTGTAATCTCAGCTACTCAGGAGGCTGAGATCTGAGGATCGTGGTTCAAAGCCAGCCCAGGTAGGAAATTCTATGAGACTCTAATCTCATTTAACCACATACACAAAAAAGCCAGACATGCAACTGTGGCTCCAGTAGTAGAGTGCTACCCCTGAAGAGACAAAAAGGCTCAGGGTCAATGTTCAAGCCCCAGGACTGGCGCGCGCGACACACACGCACTCTCTCTCTCTCTCTCTCTTTGTTCAGCATTTCCTGACTTTAACCTTGACCTACTACTGATCATTTTACTGGCCTCATAGTTCTGCTTTTTCCAGAATGTTAGGCAGTTGAAGTTACATGCTATGTAGCTTTTCTCCACTTTTCATTAAGTATTATGAATTTCAAATATGAAAATATTAGTTGCATATCAGTGGCTCATACCTATAATTCTAGCTACTCAGGAACTAAGATCCAAAGGATTGTAGTTCAAAGCCAAGTCTGGACAGAAGCATTGTGAGATTCCATCTTCAAAGTAACTAGCAAAAAAAGGCAGGCTGGAGGTGTGGCTCAGGTGGTATACTGCCCTTCTAGCAAGCAAGCCTAGCAAGCAAGAGGCCTATGAGTTGAAACCCTGGTATTTAAATATATTTAAAATTTAAATCTGGAAAACTAAAAAATTCAATTTTTAAAAAAAGGGCTGGGAATGTGGCTTAGTGGTAGAGTGCTTTCCTAGCATACATGAAGCCTTTGGTTCAGTTCCTTAGTACCAAATAAATGGAAAAGCCCGAAGTGGCACTGTGGTGCAAGTGATAGAGTATTAGCCTTGAGCAAAAAAAGCTCAGGGACAGTACCCCAGGCTCTGAGTTCAAGCCCCAGGACTGGAAAAAAACATTAGAGTCCTGATAAAAAGTTTAAGGCCCAAAGTTTACTCTGGACATTTTTTTTTTCCCAGCCACATTGCCAGCCCAGAACTTATTTTTTTTAACTGAATAAGAAAATGCTTATATAAAAAGAAAAACAGTGAAAGAAAGTAGTAAAAGAAACTCTCCATTTAAAGAGAGAACTTAAGAGTCCCTAGTTTGTTTTGTGGTGCTGGGGCTTGAACCTAGGACTTTGTTGTATACTAGTCAAGCACTCTACCACTGAGCCACATCCCCAGCCCCATGTTGTACTTTAAATGGCCTTTCTCCTGACTTAAATTATTATCAACTAGCAAGACCAGCCTGGTTTGCAGGTGGCCTCCTCTAGGTTTATAACACAGTCCTGGAAATCAGGGCCACATCTGGATAGTTACTGTTCTCTCTCCAGGCTGTGGACCACATGAACAGCCAGGAGGTGAGCGGGCGGCTGCTGTACGTGGGCCGTGCCCAGAAGAGGGCAGAGCGGCAGAATGAGCTCAAACGCAAGTTTGAGCAGATGAAGCAGGATCGGCAGAACCGTTACCAGGTGAGGCCTGGTCTCCTGGTTGTCCACTGCATCTGTATGAAGGAGGCAGAGGGGGGCCCCGAGTATGACTCCTTCGAGTATGACTCCTTCTCGCCATGTTACTTCTAGGAACCTGACTCTGGCAGGAGGAGTCAGGTGAGCACTGCGATGGTCTCCGCTGCCTGGCTCATAACAGCGGAGAAGTGCACAAGCCAATCACAGGGGCCTGGCCAAAGATTGTTGGTCTTTAGAGCCAGCCTTGTTGGGGGCTTATTGGCACCCTTCATCCCAGTACCTGTTACATCCTCCAATCACGAACAACCAAAGTGCCCTGTGTATTTCCAGACTGAGAATAATGGAGCCAACCATCTTACATCTAAAAATTACATATTTCTCTCTCTCCTAGTTTTTTTCCCTCCCTCTCAAGGCTAGCCTTCTACCATTTGAGCTACAGTGCCACCTCCAGCTTTTTGCTGGTTAATTGGAGATAAGAGTCTCATGGGCTTTCTGGCCCAGGCTGGCTTTGAACCACAATCCTCAGATCTTAGCCTCCTGAGTAGCCAAGATTATAGGCATGAGCCACTGGCACCCTTCCCCCATATTCAGTAGTTCAATGAGAGGCAGCTTTCCTCCTCCCTCGAAGGACATTCTCTGCAGTATCTAAATGTTCCCACATTTTGTGGGTAGAGGCCCCGGTTACTGACAAGACAACTTCAGCAACAACAAGGAAGTCTCAGTCTGCACACAGAGTCTGTTGCACACACACCCTTGGGCTCAGGGATACTGGGAGGATGAAACCAAAGTCTTAGAAATGCCTGTCTTTCAGTAGTGAGGAACCTGGCTGAGGATAGACTGCCTAAGTTAATCCTGGTTCTGGCCAGTGGCAATGAACTTAACCTGTTTATACTTTTTTTTTTTTTTTTGGTCAGTTGTGGGGCTTGAACTCAGGGCCTGGGTGCTGTCCCTGAGCCTTCTTGTGTTCAAAGCTAGCACTCCCTTCCTCCAGGGTGTGAACCTATATGTGAAGAACCTGGATGACTCCATCACTGATGAGAAGCTGAGGAAAGTGTTCTCTCCCTATGGAGTGATTACCAGTGCCAAGGTGAGGGACCAACCCAGGGAGCAAGGCTTCCCTTCATCCTCTTACTGCCTCTCTGAGAACCCCAGCCTCTTGCCTGGCTTCTGGAGAATTTGTGGCTGAGCTCCCCTTAGGGAGCTTGCAGTACATCTGCAGCCTTGTCTTGGTTGGTAGGGAAGTGGATACAATCCAGTTATAGAACTGGACCCAGGATGTACTGTAATGTTGGTTCATTTAATAAACATTTATTGAGTGCCTACTGTATACCAGCTTCCAGAAATCTATGCATCAATATTTCTATGGACTTTTGCTATCTGGTCTTGGCCAGTAACAAATCCCTTCTGGGCCTCAGTTTCCCCATCAAAATTTGATTGCATTACTCTTTTCTCATTTGTCCGTAGTGGTTATTCCCAACCCTAAGAGGCACCTAAGATGAGATAATGGCTATTCTACTCAATAAAATGACCCTGCTAGAGTATTAGCTTTGCAGCTTCATTTGTGTTGGGCTTACTTTTTATTTTTATTTTTGCCAGTCCTGGGGCTTGAACTCAGGGCCTCAGCACTGTCCCTAAGATTGTTTTGCTCAAGGATAGCACTCTACCACTTGAGCCACAGCACCACTTCTGGCTTTTTCTGTTTATGTGATACTGAGGAATCAAACCCAGCCCAGGCAGGACAGGTTTTCTGGTGGTTAGTCGGAGATGACTCTGATAAATGTTCCTGCCTGGGCTGGCTTTGAACCTTGATCCTCAGATCTCAGCTTCCTGAGGAGCTAGGATTACAGGCATGAGCCACCAGAACCTGGCTAACTGTATTGTTTTTGCTACATTACATTTCAACTATATTGAAATACAATCCTACCAGGTATACCTATAATCAGCAACTCTAGAGTCCTCTAAGATAGGGGGGATTGTGTTTTGAGGCCAGCTTGAGCAAAAGTTCAAAAGAACCTCATCTTAACCTCTAAGAACTGGGTCTAGTGGTGTACACCTGTTATTCCAGCTAGGTGGGAAATGTAAATAGGAGGATCGTGATCTAGGTTGATCCAGGCAAAAAGCAACCCTATTTCAAAACCAATGAAAGCTAAAAGGGCTAGCAATGCGGCTGAAGTGGTAGAGTAATTGTGTAGCAAGTACAAGCCCTGAGTTTAAATCCTAGTGCTTCCCAAAAAAACCAAAGAAATATAACATCATAATTCAAAAGTGATAGTATGTGCTTCATTACTAATGCATTAAACTAAACATATCAAAGTGGCAATTAGTATAAAAATGATATTTAAAGCTAATGATACAACATGGAAAATTTGATTTCTCTTCTTGATAAATACTGCTGCTTCCTTCCCCCGCCCCTTTCCATATTTGTTCTAAAAGGGAATGCTCATGTGAAAATAAAGATGTCAGTTTTGCCCATAAGTCCACAGACCCTGAATTCTATCCTTTATAGTCTGAGGGTCCTCAGCTATAGTGAGCACTGGTTGAGAGTCACTGTGATGGAAAGTTCAAGAGATCTAGTCCTCACAGGACATCACCCTAAATGAGGTTCAAAATACAATGTGGATCTGATCCTGGATGAGAAAAGAGAACATTAATCCAAAGGGTGACAATTGAATGAAGGCTGGAATTCAGAGATAGCCATCCAGTGATGAGGAGCTAATATTTTAAAGGCATTGTGTCAGTGCTAAGGTACCATCAATGACAGATAATACCCCTAGTTAACATTAGGGGTGGCTGAGTAAAAGCTACACAGCTATTCTTACTGTTTTTGTAACTTTTCTGAGTCCTCTGGCCCTGTGCCTTGCTGAGGTATTAGCATACTGTGACAAATGCAATTGTAGGCCCTGGTATGTATGAGCCACATGGGTGACCCTGGATGTCAGTCCTGTATCTTTTCTTTCTTTCCTGGGAAGTACGACCCGCAGGCATGTGAAGCTTCTGGTACACAGTAGGCCTCAGTAAGTGTGGGGTGGATGGTTTGTCTGTTAAAAAGCTTCTTGTGGAGGCCTACTGGGTGCTGGGCAGGGGAGGAGGGGAGCATGGCCCAGAAGTTTGCCACCCCCAGCAACCCTTGTCTTGTCTTGCTTTTAGGTGATGACAGAGGGTAGCCACAGCAAGGGGTTTGGCTTTGTGTGTTTTTCCTCTCCAGAAGAGGCGACAAAGGCCGTGACAGAGATGAATGGACGCATCGTGGGCAGCAAGCCACTGTATGTGGCACTGGCCCAACGCAAAGAGGAGAGGAAGGCCATCCTGACCAACCAGTACATGCAGCGCCTCTCCACCGTACAGGCCCTGGACCGCCCCCTTTTAGGGTCCTTTCAGCAGCCCAGCTACTTTCTGCCCGCTGTGCCCCAGGTGACAGTTTGCCCACAGCTCCTGCCATGACCTTTCCCCCACGACAGTCAGGAAGAGCAGGAAGATAGAGTTTCACAGGCCAATGTAGGCTCTGCTGAACATTCCTAAGGCAGACCGTTCCAAGCTCTTAACTTTCCTCATCTGGAAATGGGGTCAGTCTTGGTGAGATTCCTGAATGGTATAAAGAAAAAGACTGTAGTCAAATAAGTTTGGGAGATGTGGGATTAAACGAAAGCAGCAAACTTTTTTGTTTTTAAACTATGCACTGTCCATCCTAACATGCTCCTGTCTAGTATGGAGCTCCCAATGAGTGTAGAGCTGGTGGCATTTCCTCAGCTTAGATGCTATTAACAATTCCCCTGGCAATTCATGCTCTAATGAACATGGTTTCTTTAGGAAAGGCCTCCTGTGATTTGGGGGAAGTAGAAAGATAGATGCCATTGTAGGCCACCCGGCTGGTAACGTTCCCTCCCTTTCTAGCTGATCCTAAGCTCAGCACATATTGGGGTACAGTGATACTTTTTGTTTCTTTTTATCTAGGTCACTGTGCTAGACCTGCTAAGGACCAAGGGTTGAAAATCAGTCTTTCTCTAAGGGGTTCGAGGCTAATGAGAATTTATGAGATGGGAGGAAGGAGCCTTTCCTGCTGGCTTTATTTATTAACCTGTTCTTTGGAAGGGCTTGGTAGTTCTTGCTGTGGTCATCCCTGAGTGGATGCAGGGTGCCCCCTGCTCCCGTGCCAACTTCCTCATTCTAGGTCCTCCTCTCCCACGCAGCCTCCAGCCCAGGCGGCATATTATGGCTCTAGCTCCATGACCCCTATCCAGGCTACCCCCAGGTGGACGGCCCAGCCACAGAGACCTTCATGTGAGTCACCCAAGCCCCTTCTGCCCTCAGCCCCGAGAGGCAGTGTGTAGCACAAGGGTCAAAGCTGGCTTTGCCACTTCCCAGCATTGACCACTTTGCCTTGCTTCCTAATTTGGATTTGAATATGTTGTGAAGCTGCAGGCACTGTGGGGAGCCTACAAGAGATGTGTACTGTGGCCATTATCAGTTGACTCCGGACTAGAAAGTCTTACAAAATGGAGAAAGTAACACTCCTTGGTATTGCAATTCACAATCACTTAAAACTCTTGAGGCCAAGGTGAATGATCAGGGTACTTCGGCGCCTTGGGGCTCTGGGTACACAGGAGTTATTTTTGTCATTTGTAGATTTACATCCCCCCCCCTCCCTCTGGGGCCTTTAGGGCAGCATACAACCCTGTTTACCTCTTGTCCCCCACCTTTTCTCCATTTTTATGTCACAAGTTGTCTACCCTCCAGCTGCCTCAGTGGTCCAGCCACCAGGCACGCTTCAGCGCTCCCGGGCCCAAGTCAGCAGTGCCAGGCGGGCGTCTGCCCAGGTTCCACGCCCAGTGCCCCACACCCAGAGAGTGGGTGAGTGTGGGTGGGACCAAAGGAATTGGGATGTGAGGAGGGTGAAGCAAGGTCTGGGTGTCTCCAGGGTTGACCCTAGAGAAGAGTTACAACTGACCTTTACAATGACCTTCCTTGCCCTCTTGGTGAGCTAAACCAGCTTTGGAGGTGGTGTGTGTAGTGTAGCAGTTGGTTTGACCTCTTAACTCCTGGGACTTCACTCATTCTGTGACCCTTGCAGACTATTTCTGATTACCTAATCCTTACAGTGAAAAAAAAAGAATATGTCCAATTGGTTGTGAGGATTAGTGAATTGACTTAGCCTTAGGTAAGTATTGCAACTGTTGTTGACAAGGGGTATGCCCTGCAAGGCAAGCACATCTGTTCTGTCACCAAGTGGATCTTCACATCTGTGTGCTGGGGATTCTGCATGAGTCAGTCAGTCCTTGGCCTTGGTTGTGATCAGTCCCTGACATTCATGATTATTAATTGTGGTAAAATACACCTAAAATTTACTCTAAACTATTTTTTGAGGTGCACGCAGCTCAATATCATGCATTCTTTCCCCATCATTCATCTCTAGAACTTGGTCTTTGCAGAACTGAAATTCTGTACCCATTAAGCCAGAACTCCACACCCCATAGCCACTAGCAACCACCATTCTACTTTGCATCTGTGACTTTCACTGCAGTAGTTTACTTCATATAGTTGGAATCATACAGAATTTGTCCATCTTTTTTTTTTTTTTGGCCAGTCCTTGGGTTTGAACTTAGAGCCTGGGCCGTGTCCCTGAACTTTTGTTCAAGGCTAGCACTCTACCACTTGAACCACAGTGCCACTTTCAGCTTTTTCTGTTTATGTAGTCCTGAGGAATCAAACCCAGGGTTTCATGCATGCTAGGCAAGCACTGTACCACTAAGCCATATTCCCAGCCCAGGATTTGTCCTTCTGTGACTGGCTTATTTCACTTAGCACAATGTCCTTAAGATTCATTTATGCTGTAGCACATCAAGTTGAATAATCTGTTGTCTGTATGGACCAATTTTGTTTGTCCATCTGTGGATGGAACAACAACATTTGGGTTGCTTCCTGTAGACTACGGTAAATCCTCCAACTTTGAGCCTGGTGTATTTCAGTTCTTGCTTTCAATTCATTTCAATACATAACCAGAAATGGAATAGATAATGCAGTAGTTCAGTTTGTGTGTATATGTGTGTGTGCGCACACGCATGCGTGCGTGCATGCTGGTAGTTGGATTTGAATTCCTAGTCTGGGCATTGTTCCTTTACCTTTTTTTCTCAAGGCTGGTACTCTACCACCAGGGCCACAGCTCAGGTTTTAATTTGGAGTGTTTAATCAGAAATAAGGAGAGTCTTATGGACTTTCTTGCTCAGGCTGGCTTTGAACTTTGATTCTCAAGGTATCAGCCTCCTGAATTCCAGATGTGATGTTATTTTTTTCCAGCCAACATTGGAACCCAGACCACAGGCTCTAGAAGAACAGGCTGTTGTACACCAGGCCGGCCTCTCCTGCCATACAAATGTTCCTCAGCTATGCACAATGCCTGTGGGGTAAGGCTACCTGCTTCTTCTGGCTTTTGGGGAATCATGGCTTAGAGCTTTAGCTAAGGTGTTGGTTCTCTGGGCCTTGCTTTTCTCTATTTTCTTGGCTTGTAAAGCTTTTGGTTAAGTCAGGAAGAGATCACACTTACAGAAGGAAAAAGAGCCAGTGTCACATTTCAGTTACTAATAACTTTTTGCTTTGCCTAGGTTATTACCAAAATTAATTTGAACTTTCCTAGTATTTATTGAGCATCAAAGAAAGGTATTCTAAGAATATGCTGAGTATTAGACGCGATTAATGTTCAAAACAGAACAAAAAAATCCCCACTGGAATAAAATGAAAGCCTACATAGAACCAAAAATTCCTGTTGGAATAAAATGAAAGGTGGCTGCTATATTTTTATCTTCTTGCCCCCCCAAAAGGTCTCAAACTGTCTGCACTGTCATACAGTCTATAGTATTTCAATGTACCTAGTTTGAACTATTTCTTTTCCTTCTTTCCTTCCAGCTGGTTGTGAACACCAGAGATAAGGGGGTAGAGCTGCTCCCGTGTGAGCCACCTACAAGTTAATGGCTAATGAACCTAAGTTACACCCCCGTGTATCTGGAAAAGTGCTTTATTGAGCACAAAATGATGAGCAATACATGGCTTTCATTTGGCAATGCTTATCCAGGGCCTTTATAGGTTCAAAATACACTTAAATTAGTATTCTAACCCATGCTATACTACTTGACCAGACCTAGATCCCTGCTCCTCCAGAGCCTTCCTTCCTGGAGGCTTTGTTCATCTGACAGCATCATTTGAGGTCTTTTCAATCCATGTAGTTAAAAGAGGTGTCCCTGGCACCCTGTGCAGGTCCAGGAGCCTGCCGTGTATGTCCCTGGCCAGGAGCCCCTGACTGCGTCCATGCTGGCTGCAGCGCCCCTGCACGAGCAAAAACAGATGATTGGTGAGTGGGCTGGCTCTCCTACATGGGGACAAGAAGAGGAGGGCTGGGAGCTGGCTGACTTTCCAGGAGCACCTGAGGTGAGGACAAGCCAGCTCTGTCTCTTGATGGAGCTGCTGGGTGACTTTCCCCATGTTCCTTCTACTGCATAGGCTACTGTCCTCCTGTCTTTAAATACTGGCTAGACCAATAGTTCCAAGGCTTTTCCCAGTCTGCTGTTCTGATTCTAACATAGATGGGAGAGGTCAGGGCCAGGAGGAATCTGTGGCCTTGAGTTTCTGCTAGGAAATGGCCTAGAGGTGGGAAATAGTTTGAACTGGGTTAAGTTCCAGTGGTTTCCAATGGACTCTGAACCCCCACTGGGCATGTTCATCTTCAGTTCAAGTCTGTGATACGTCTTGCCACTAACGGAATGAGCAGGTTTGCCTGCTGGCAGGTTGGCCACTTTGATGGCCGTCAGCTCTCCAGAATCTCCACTGCCAGTCTTCATTTATTTCCCCACCTTAGTTATTAGGTTTGGTCACTTCAACACTAGAGAAAAAATGGAAATATGCTTAAGAAAGGCCTTTGCAATTCTCCACGAACACCTTCCTCATGCATAGACTCTTCCCCTTGAAGAGTTCATTTTAGCAGGCCCTTTGTACATTGCTGAGATGGGTTGACACCAACACTGGGCATGGTTGCTAGAAATACTGATAGTAGAAATTGAATCTATTCCATGTTTGTCTCTTCATCCCTCCACACAATCTCATGTTCAGTATTATATCCTGCCTAGAATCTGAGTGTCCAGTGAGAACTGTTTCTTGCAAATGAACAAATGTAGTCTTTTAAACAGCAATTGACATTGTGTTGCAGATCACTTTACACATAATAGCAAATTTGATTCTTCAAACTGCCCTCTGAGAACACAGATAGGTCCATAGCCCAACTCCAGGTACTGCTCCCCGGACATGAGGATGAAACTTAGGTGTGTGCGTTAAGCCATCAACTTGTAGGTTGTTCACGCAGGGGAGCGACTCTACCCCCTCATCTATGATGTTCATAACCAGCTGGCTGGCAAAATCACGGGCATGCTGCTGGAGATCGACAATTCGGAGCTGCTGCTTATGCTGGAGTCTCCAGAGTCCCTCAAGGCCAAGGTCGGTGGAGAATGGGCAGCCTGACAGCTAAGGACAAGAGTGTCTAGGAGATGAGCCAGGCAGTGACACATGCCTGTAATCTCCGCTACTCAGGAGGCTAAGATCTGAGGATCACAGTTTGAAGGCAACTTAGGAAAGTCCATGAGACTCTTATGAAATGGAGCTGCGGCTTAAGTGGTAGAGCACTAGCCTTAAGCAAAATGAAGCTCAGAGACAATACCCAGTCCCTGAACTCAAGACCAAAAAAAAGTGTTTAGGACAATTGAATTTGATCTTGCTGACTTCTCTTTTTATGCCAGTCCTAGGCCCAACTCAGGGTCTGGGTGTACTCTTCTAAAGTTTTCTTTTTGTTTTTTGTTCAAGGCTAGCACGCTATCACTTGAAGCACAGCTCCACTTCTGGTTTTTTGGTAGTTAAAGTGAAAATAAGAGTTTCAGTCTTTCCTACCTGGGCTGGCCTTGATCCTCAATCCTCAGATCTTAGCCTCTTAAGTAGCTAGGATTACAGGGTGAGCCACCAGTGCCCACCTAATCATGCTGAACCTTGAGTAGGAGGGCCTTCATTAGGGTTTACTAATACAGTCACTGCACAGGCAAGGTCTGGAATAAGGAGCCTATTTCCCCAGTGTACCTCTATCTTGAGAACATGAAATGGGCCATGGGATCTTGTAAGCAGCAGTGGAAGACTCCACAAATCCTTCATCAAGTTACGATGGGGGGAGGTCACAGCTCTCAAGCTTCTGTGGGGGCAGCTGCACTAAGTTTTTCCCACTTGTGTCTTACAGATTGAAGAGGCGGTGGCAGTCCTGCACACGCACCAGGCCATGGAGCCACTAAAGGCATACACAAACTGAAAACAGGTTGACTGGGAGTGAGGAACTGGGACAGAAGAGGTGAATCCAGAAGCTGTAGAGAAATGGCCGGAGGCTGCCTCTCAGCTTATTGCTGGCTTTGAAGTGCCAAGGAGGTGAGGGACAGAGGCTTATAGATGACACACTGACCTGTGACTGCAATGGTAGTGAAGGCACTCTTGTGCCCTCTCCGCTGCCTGGCGTCATGCAGAATGGGTTGGGCTTTCCCTGGGAACTGTCTGGTTCTATTCCGAAGGCCTGGCCTAGACCACTGCTTACCTTCTTACCTGAAGACTGGGTGTCTTCCATACTTTAGAAGTATGTATTCCCCTCCCCTCCTTTTCACTCTCAGAAAATGGAACCCTAACTTCCCTGGCTGCTACAAGTACAGCATTTCCTGATCACAGCTCTAAGGCCCTGAAAATGATAACTTATTTCCTGATTGTTCTGTATCTGTACTTGAGCTTGGGCTATGGAAGGCAGGCCACTTTCCCACTGACCACTTTTTGCTTTGTGTATTAAAAGTGCTGCAAAATCTATCTTACCTCCTAAAAGGCTTTCTTGTGCCACAGGGAGGTGGAGACGGAGCAAAGGCTCTACTTTGTCGGGTTTGAGCTTTGACTCTAAGGATCAGAACTCCAAAAGCACACTGATATATACTGTTGTGTATTCAACAACAGACCTGTAGGAAACTGGGCTGCACTATCATGAAGCAGACAGAGAAAACGAACTAAAGCTAGAGGTGCCTACATTTGAAGTGTAATGTTTCTGCAGAATTGTACACCCTGTGAAGCAGGTAAACGCCCTAGGAGCAAGCGACTGCTGCCAGAATGTGTTTGGGTATTTTACTCTAGGTCAAGGGTTCCTTCCCCTATAGGGAATGGGGAAGTATCTCAAGGTTATTTGAGGCTGGACAGTGGCTCAAATATGTAATCTTAGCTGCTTGGGAAGATCGAGGACCATGGTTTGAGATAGGTCAGAGGTTCTCGAGACTCCCAAAACTCACTCAACAGCTGGATGCAGTGTGCATGCCTGTCCTCCTCAGGGTCACCTGGAAGCACAAGGATTGTAGCCTTGGCTGACCTGGGCTGGAAGACAGGACCTCAAAAACAGCCAAGACAAAAAGACTTGGAGGCATATGGCTTAAGTAGTAGAGCTCTTGCTGAGCAAGCTCCAGTTCTTGAGTTCAATTCCGAATACCACTGGGGAAGGGGAAGGAGAGGAAGATTCTTCAAAGCAGAGCTGACAGAGGGACAGACCCCAGTTCTTTACCATCCCTGTATCTGCAGCCAAAAGATAGCAGTGAAGATCACACTGGTACTGTTGTTAAGTTTACCAGCAACACACCCACCGATTCTCAAGACTGTACCATATTCTGTCTTAAACTTCTCCATTGCTCAGACCAACCCCATGTCCCTTGCGCACTCACACCCTTCTCTCCAAATGCCCAGTGTTGGTGTTTCTTCAGGTGTGATCCTCAGACCTTTTTCTATTTTTTTTTTTTGGGTCCCATCGTGGGGCCTGAACTCTGGGCCTGAGCGCTGTCCCTCAGCTCTTCAGCTCAAAGCTAGCGCTCTACCACTTGAGCCACAGCGCCACTTCAGCTTTTTTCTTTTTGCTTATGTGGTGCTGAGGAATTGAACCCAGGGCCTCAGGCATGCAAGGCAAGCGCTCTGCCACTGAGCCACCTTCCCAGCCCCCTTTTTCTATTTTCTTGATATCTAACACTTTTATAAACACATTGGTTTGTAGATAACTCTAGGTTTTCTGTTTTTTCCTTAGCTCAGGCTGGTCTAGGAAGCTCCTAGACCACAGATATCATATCCTACTTGCTATCATCTATCTCTTGGTATCCCAATAACACTTGTAAGCTCGTGTTTAAGACACAACTTTATATAGCCTGGCGCTGGTGGCTCACGCCTGTATTCCTAGCTACTTAGGAGGCCGAGATCTGAGGATTGCAATTCAAAGCCAGCCAGGCAGGAAAGTCCAATTAACCACCAGAAAAAACCAGAAGTGGTGCTGTGGCTCAAAGAAGTAGAGTGCTAGAGTTGAACAAATGAACTCAGGGATTAGTGCTCAGGCTGAGTTCAAGCCCCATGTCCAACAAATAAAAAGACCTTGTGACAGCATTCCTTTGATTCAAGTATTCTCAGCAAATGGTTCTACTCCCATCCTATTGCAAAAGCCAGGATCTGAGGGTCCTCACCCCACCACCTTACTTTCCACTTTACCCTTTTTTAAGTGTTCCAACTTTTCTCTAAATCTGCCACCACCAACCTAGTCGTGGCTTACTTAGCAGACTCTGGCAATAGCCTTCCCTGGTCTCACTGTACTGTCCTCTGGTCTGCCTTCCATCATGAGATCAGGCTTTACAGTGATGTCTCTTAGAGGAAGGACAAAACTTACATGGCCTAAGTGATCCTGAATAAACAGGTGCCCATTGTATAGCACCCTGTCATTCTCATGCTGTGACTTTCTCTTGAGGTTTGGGATAGCCATCAAAGCAATCACATTAGGGCTGGAGGTGTGATTCAAAAGGCAGAATACTTGCCTATCAAGAGCAAGGCCCTGAGTTCAAGCCCTAGTACTGCCAAAAGAAAAAAGATCAGTGTTCATAAGTACAAAAGCCTCTTTGGCTGTAAAGGCTGAGGCCTGGCTATATGCACTGGCAAATCTAGACATGTGCCCTCCAGAGCCAGGGAAGACAACTAAGTCAGCTGTAGTGGGTGTTGCCACTAGACTCAGACAGGAGTCAGCCTGCCTAAGAGGATGCAGGACAGGGGCAGGTCTCAATGAGGAAAGTATCTTTGCCCCATAAGGAGTGGGGGTGGTAGTGGGGGGGGAAGGGGCTGGTCTGATTAACGTCCTCGAGCTCATGATTATTGGAGATAAGCAAAAGCCTCATCCTTGAGCCTCTGTTGCTGACTTCGCCACAGATGCCACTGTTTAGCACCACTGTGATAATGTTCTGCTCTGTAAAGTCATGAAAGTTTTACTTCATTAAAGTCAAAGTAATTTGACTACAACACAGCCCAGAAAAGGGAGGCAGATCCTAAAGCCAGGCTGTTTTGTCAACTCCAGGGTATGTTACTCCTATTCTCCCTCAGCAAATTCTCCAACTCAGTTGTTCTGCAGATGCTGTTTATTTACACTATATCCTATCCTTTCCCCTTAGAATTCAGTTCTAGGTCTGTAAGTCACTGGGACCTTTACACTCCATTGTACACTGTGATCCTTATCCCCAAGTATGTCCCACAGAGGCAGGCAATACTGTCAGATGCTTCCTTCATGGTGTTTTAGCCAGCTGTGGCTTTACATGTGACTTTACCTGATTACTTCTTACCTTCCCACTTGGCTGCGGACATTTCAGTAAATTTGTTCAACAAATGGATAAATGCCCCAAGAATTAACAGCTTTATTATTATCACTACAAAGTTCCAGGTGCAAAGCTCAAGAGGCATAAATGAAAGTAGAACAAACACCTGTAAAAGCTTTTTAATGCAAGAACTTAAACACAGTTCAACAAAATCAGTCCAAATTAACTTCAACGTATTACAAAGAACTAAGAAGCCTGAGGGGCCATGTTTGAGGGGAAAAAGTCAAGTTCCTGCTCAGAATGGAAGGACACTGCCTCAAAGAGGCCTCTCTCTCCATCCCAGGAGGAACAGCCATCACCACCGAGCTCTTGAAATAGCTTAGGTAACTCCACACAGAAGGCAGCAGCGTAGAGTCAAGGACAGAGACTCCACAGGTCAGGGCTCTGCCTTCCCACAAAGGAGGGCCCGACTAAAGGCACTAGGGCTCAGACACAGTGGACTGTGCCCTTGGGGAGATGGCAGCCCTGGAGAACCAGCTCAACAGGCTGCTGTGGGTATAGGTGGGTCAGGTGTTTTGTTCAGATTAACTGCAGAAAGGCTTTGTCTGGGGAAGTCACAGGGGTAGCCCACAGGACAAAGCCAATTGTTTGCTGTCTGAGGCAGATGGATGGGAACAGGACTCCAACTTCACATTCAGCTCTAGAAGGTACCTTTCTGCCAAAAATATGTCCTGTGCTTTACTATACTGGGCTTAATTTAAACAAGCAAAGCCTCTCAGAGGGGCTAAGGAGGATATTTTGAAGCTCCCTTGGGGGCATGCTGGGTGTCAGGGGTAGGAGATGCAGGGGAGGAGGCTCCTGGCTTCTCTGGGATGGTCAGGCAGAGGGTTCCTGCTGCCCACTGGGGGTTTTACTTCAGGCTCTGGTTAACTTCCTGACGTAACTTCTGTGCAGGGCCATTCCTGGGCTCAATCTGTAGGAGGCTGCTGATGTCTGCAAGGCTGGATTTATAGTCCTAATGAAAGAGAAGAGTGTGGGGAAGGGACCTGGAGGAGGTGAGATCTAGCTGGGGTGGGGACAGCTGCAACACAGCAGACTGTTTTCAAACTCCAGCCCTGTATGTGTTGTGAGCTATCGTGGGGCCCAGAATGAGGAACCCAGAAGTAACTATCTCACCTTCAATGGCACTCGGAAGTGGCAGTACTGGCATAATTATCTACAGCTACTTCAGCATGTTCAGGTTTACCTTGAGTGCCTTGTAGGCTTGAGCCCGTCTATAAAATGCCTTCACATTCTTCCCATCCAGCTTAAGAGCTTCAGAGCAGTCCTTCACGGCTTCCTTGTACTGCTTCAGGACTAGATGGCATAGTGCTCTGGTGGGGAGAGGCCATTACAGAGGTTTAGTCACTTTTCATGGAAAATACTGTAGAATTGGAATAGTGTCTATCTGTACCTGGCATGCACTTCAAATTTTGATTACTGCCAAAACTCTATTCAAAGAAGTTACACTTTTAGGACATTATGAACAAAGGCTACTTTCCTACAACTAAAGCAAACCTGGGATTTAAAATCAATTCTTTGACTATGGAAGAAAATAGTAACTTACTGTCTTTAGTTGCTTTAAATATGAATAAGATTTTTTTAATCTTACGAAATTAGATCTATCCAACATTTCTGTGAGTTTAAAAAATTGTGTGGGTTTTATTTTCCTCCTATATAGAAGTATTTAAGCTGGGTGCCTAGCTACTTAGGAGACTGAGATCTGAGGATGAAGATTTCAGGCCAGGCCAGGGTGCTAAGAGCTCATGCCTGTCATTCTATCTATTCAAGAGGCTGAGATCTGAGGATGGCAGTTTGAAGCCAGCCCAGGCAGCAAACTCCCTGAGACTTAAGCACACAAGAAAGCAGGAAGTGGAGCTATGGCTCAAGTGGTAAAGCACTAGCCTTGAGCAAAAAAGCTCAGGGACAGCATCCAGGCCCTACATTCAAGCTCCAAGACCAGCACAAAAGGAGAAAGGAAAAAGATCAGAAGTCAGCCCAGGTAGGAATATCCATCCGTATGATTCTTATCTCCAAATAATGACCAAAAAGATTGAAGTGTAGCTATAGCTACACGAGAGCACAAGGCCCTGAGTTCAAGCCCAGTACCAAAAAATAATTAATTTCCAAATGGTCTTTGGCAGGAAAAAGATTTCCCACCTCAGCTCCATTTGCCTATTT